TTGTTTGAACCATATCTCTGTTCTGCTTGTTTGTTTTTTGTTTTTTTCCCAGGTAATGCCCTTGAACCATCTCTTCGTTTTACCAAGTGATGGTTAGTTTTATAGTGGCTTTATCCAATTTTTAATATAAAAATTAGTTTAATTTTTAATTTGATTCTAAATATAATCTCTCATATTGACCTTTTTTTTTAAAAGAGAGTTATTATAGTAGTTGTATATATTAAAAGTTTTATTAAATGATAATTCTAGAAAATATACTTGATTAGGAAAAAGTATTTTAGGGAAGTTAATACATTTATTACTAACAATTAGCTTAACTAATTTTCTTAATCTACTTAGGTTAGTCAATTGGTTCTTATATTAAGAACTAAAGATAGTATTATAAAGATATGATTTTCGTTATTTTTAGTATACATTGATTTTTATGACATGGCTTTTTAAAAAAAATAGGAAAAATAAAATAAATAAATTTAAAATATCAAAATCTCAAATTAGAAATAACTACAAAAATATGTTATCATTTGTTTTTTTAAATATTATCATTAGTTATTAAAATACAGCGAACTAAGCTGATGTGAAATTTTTGTAAGAATGGTTAATCACCCAAGAGGGAGGTGAATTGGGTGTTAATTAAAATCAAAAATATTTTCACAATATAATGAAATTCATAATAAATTCTGAGTATAAAATAATGAATTGATATAAGCATAATCACAGTAGTAAAATGGTTTAGCTAGAAATATAAAGAGGTAAGGTAAGAGAAGATGCAAACTGTGATTTATCCTGGTTCGGTCCTCACTGACCTACATCCAGTCCCCAGGCTCCCTCTGATATTTTCAATCCACTATCTCCCTCAAGTTTAACACAGGTACTTGAGAACCATTACAACCACAAGTTTGATTCGGGCATTTGTGACGCCACTTACAATCCTTAGACTAACCAATCTATTCAATAGCAACCTCACACTGAGGTAAATACTCTCCTTTACACACCGTAAGGATACAATCTGATAATGATAATGAAGATTGAATATTTCTTCTCTCAAAAAAATGATAGATGAATCTTAAGCACGTTTGGGAAACTCTCCTCTCTATCTTACGAATACATATGTTACAGTCTTTGAAGTACAGAGAAAGGAAGTTTTCTCTCGGAGCTCTAAATGAAAATATGTTGATTCGGCATTTTAGCATTTGATGTTGTAAGCTCAGACTCTTCTCTTTTTTTTCTTGTTTTGAATGCTCTTTTATTTATAGATGATGTTGGGTACTTGACCGTTGAGTATTTTCTTCCTGTTTGGTTTGAAGAATATGACTGTTGAAACTAGCCATTGGAAGCTTTTAACAAAAGTCGATTCTTCACATCATAAATTCGTTGTGGCTCTTTCCCTAAAATAATATTTCTCAAATCAATTGATAAGTATCTAATAATCTTAAAAATAATAAGTTAGAAAACTTGAAATCAATCATCAGTTATTCAGAAAGTAAGATGAACTTACTTGATCGATAATACTTTGATCGATCATATTATCGATTAATTACAGGAGAAATAGACTTAACAGATGTATACATTTATCGAGTAATTTATGGATCAACAGATGATCGAACATGTGATTGATAACTGATTAAACATGAATGAAGTGAGCTTTAAATTGATTATGCAAGGATAATCTTTTTTAAGTTATGTTTGCCTTCGTATCCTTTCAATAGAAAGTTATGTGTAAAAAGAAGGTTGAGAAAAGCTTAAAGATTTTTAGATAAAAAGATTTTGAAATCATTGTGAAAAGCTATTATGAAATAAACTGGTTCAATGATCGAAAAGGTGATCGAAAACTATTTGATCAATCAGGTTATCGATAAAGCTAAGTATGAGAGAAATAGATTTTCAAAGAGCGTTGATCAAATACTTTATCGATAAATGGATGACAGAAAATTTGATCGATAAAACAAAGTTTAACAAAGATATTCATAAAGAGCACAAATCCTAAGATGATCGAGTAAATGATCGATTAAAGATTAATTGATTAAGTGATCGATAAAATATCATTGAAATCTCTTTACGGAAAATACCAGGAAAGACTTTGATCGATCATGTTATGTGAAAACAGAAGATTCAGATATTTAAATGATCGATCATTTTATTGATAAATGAGTGATCGATTAGGTGATCTAAAAATGGCTTAAAACAAGTAAGTGCAGTGAAGGTGATGATGATCGATCATTTGATCGAAAAACAATTGATTGATTAAAGACCTTGAATGAAAATTTTGACAGAACACATTATCGATTAATTAGAAGTAAATTACCATACACTGTTTGAACAAGTTATCGATAAAATAATAATCGATAAATTGATTGATAACAAGCGAATTGTTCAATATAGTGAATAAGTCAAGGAAGTTTACCAGATTATCTGAGTCCTGATCGATAATAACTTGATCGATTAGGTGATCGATATTCCTATTGTTACAGGAAATGAAGTTTATTCCTTTTTCCTGATAACTTATCAATCAACCAATTATCGATTAAATGATCGATAATTTACTACAAAATCTTACACTTAAACAATTCTATCAGTGATCGAATATCCGATCGGTTAACCTTTAATTGATAATGTTATCGATTACTTGTGCTTTCATATTTTAAAAGATAGATTATAGCTTGAGCACCTTAGAAATGTATGTGAAGATATAAGAGAAGAATTGAAGAGATAGTATCAGGTACTCAATAAAGTGATTGAGTATGTAGTTGCTTGATCATCAACTCGAACATCAGTTTACTTGATAACTGGCTTCGAGTAACATCTGATAATGGCTTTTTATTTCTTCATTTCTTCTAGTGCTTTTACTGAATAACATGTTTGAGTAGCATGTTGCTCGAGAGCTTAATCAGTCAATGTAGAACTTCTGGTCTTCCCTCAATAAATTCGACTTCTGATTCAAGCAAAACGAAGGTCAACTTTGAGTGATCATAAATCTTCCAATTCAACTCCAAATTTTGCAAATGACCTATCCCCATAAAGCTCTTTGAGTCTACTTTTTAATGCAACAAGAACCACCCCAAAATTCATTGTATTCACAAAGTTATCTTCATCACAGTGACTGAAGGTCAGAATAAAGGCGTTAAGCCCAACTGCAATGTTTCAAGCAATATATCTCCCTCATATGAAACTCTTTGAAATTGATTTTGGTGTCCATGAACTGTGTTCTGAGTCTAGTTTCATATGAATCAAGTTTCACCTCAAACGGATTTGTGGTTTAAGAGATATTAGAGAAATACCAAACCTATGTCAGAGCTGAATGAAGAACAGAGCATAACAGAGTATGTGTTTTATTGATAAATTGATCGATAAGTGGCTGATCGAGTTATTGATCGATAAATTCCCTTGAAAATCACCCCTGAAGCTTATTTTCAATGTCTATATGAAGGGTGACTCGATATATGATGATATAACTTCCGGTTTGTGCATTTTAGCCTCCGATTGAGCCATACAAACTTCGAATTGAGCATAGCAACTTCTAATATCAAATTTATGAATTTGAATCTTGATATTTCCATTTGATCTTGCAAGTTCTTCTTTTCTCAATCTCTCTTCTTCTTCTTCCTCCTTTTGATCATTTTCTATAACTCAAAGTTTAACATAATAACCCCTTTCTTTTCGAGAAGAAATTACACAAGATATTAAGTGCGGTAGTTAGTCAAAATATGAGACAAATAATTTATGCAGACTTTTTACTTTATCATTTGACATCATCAAAACTAATCATATCTAACAATTTTGAAATTTAAAAGTATTTTGTAAAGAATTTTTTCTTAAAAATATCTCTTTTCGTTGTGGAAAAATGCCCTGATACTTTCCATGTCTCTAAGTAAACGAAAGAAAAGCAGTCAAGTCAGAGAACATCAGATGAAAACAAATGAGAGGTCTAAAATGGCTACCTCTCTCTGTTCAGTAATATAAAAATTATACAACTAATTTATAGACATTAAAAAAAATTAGTTTAGTTACTTATTTATTATAAAATATTTTTATTAACAATGTATATTATTACTTGATGATAAAATGGATAAATATTGGAGAGAATTAAAGTGGATTGAAATATTATATTTAAAGCCTAGCTGAATATTTAATTAACTCATTAAAGATCGGTCGTAGTTAACAATGAATGAATTCCACATTGCTTAAAAATTCACATACTAAATAATAAATTAAAAGAAATGGCTGGCTAGTAATGAACAATTTAAATTGATGAGTAGTATTGATTGAGCACAGGTGGTAGTCACATTATATGGTGTCAATTAAAAAGTTAATAACCTCATACTCTAGTGCTATAAAAATACGATTGAGTCCGCCTCATGATACTTTAGCCCCAGGGCACTTGTTTAAGATCGGCCAATCCCTTGGGACAAATAACCTGATTTCATTCCCAGTATTTCTAAAAGGATGACTATTATGACATGCCCTAAATGTCGTGTTAATTATTACCTCGGTCCTTAATACATGATTCAGTTAGGATTAAATTTGATTATAAATATAAGATTTCAATTTATTTTTATCTCATTTTTTCTGAAAATATCTCTATTAATTCTAAGAAATTCTGACCAATGGACAATTCTAATTATCCAATGCGCATGTTTGAAGAGAATAGTTTAAGGACATATACATTTGTAACAATCTTTAAATTAATTATGTAGTTTTTATATAATTAATTAATGCTATAAAATAAAGAGGTCAATGCTCTACAAGCTAAAGATAAAAAACTTCAGTCAAACATGGCGACTGATGACTTGTGTGGCCAGTGTATTTGCTGACTATGTTTGTCTCTCCCTATTTTGCAGTCTTCATCACTGTATTATCCGTTTCTTTTCTTTTTTTTCTTTTTGGTTCTACTTTGTCGTTTTTCTGATCAAGTTTTGGTCTTTCCTTCTCTATATGCAGACAAGTAGTTGTATTATCGGGGGTGTCTTCTTCCTTTCTTCCTGCAACGTACTCTACCCGCAGACATGTTCGCCCAGAAGAAGAATGATTCATCCCAAAAGCTCTCACATTCAGAAGCCACCATTGCTGTTGCTTATGGGAAAAACGGTAACTAATGTTACTTCTTTTGCTTTTAGAAAAAGAAGACATTAGGTGATCCCTTTCAAATATAGTACTAGATACTTGGTAGTCAAATAGATTGACTTATTGGCACTGGGACAAAGACCAATGGTAGTCAATCATGATGCAGACATGGCCGAGAAGCTGGAAGATGTAACTGATAGAAAGAGTACTGTGCGGGGAAATTGTTCACATTTTAGAGCTCGTCTAGCCTCATTCGTGGAAGCCGCCATGGCTGCAAAACTTGTGGTGGTGGGAGAAGCTCTTGTTTCCGTGATGGCAGTGCTTTTACGGGCACAATAATAAGGCCTCAATTTCGTCTGTACGTTGTGGCCTCCCACTGGTTTGCCTCAATAAAGCTTTTCGCTGTTTTCCAGTTGTCAATAAGTCCCGCAACTTCACAAATGCCATTCTTTGAAAGGATCATGGACGCCATAATTCTGGTTGATCTTCTTATTCCCCTCATCCGGCTGTTTTACCTTCTCCTGGCACCTCTGTTTCTCTCTGCTTCTTCCCAAGAAAGGAGGTCATCCAGGGCGAGGTGTGCCATTCCTGCCTTTCTATCTTATACAAACAAGGATTAATTACTTTTGCGTTTCTGAGGCATTTAATCTTTCCTAGATATATAGCACAAACTAAAATACAATAAAAGCTATCACTCTAATTTTATGAATTCGTTTCCCAGTGGAGTGGAATTCCTGTAACAAGTTGTTGTAAAAAGTGTATCCGTGTTTTCAGGAAATCAAAATTATCCGCCAACTGAAACATCCAAACACTGTGAAGTGTTATGGAAATGAAATTGTAAGTATTCTCCTAATTGAAGCTGATGAGGGAACTATATGCACAATTAATTAATTACTTATTGGTTCAAGCAATGAGTAGGACGCTACATTTCTCTATACATCCAACCAGGTTCACTGAAGAAATATATTTTGGAACTAGGTGTTTTACATGGACTTTCAATTCGAAATTTCACTGAAGAAATTCTCTCATTGGCTGGATTGCCAATGTAATAAAAGAGTTGTTGACGGGTATATTCCCATACTTGCATGGAATACTGCATGAGTTTTGGTCATTGTAACACAGATCTTGCAGGATAATTAATTTTTAACTAATGTTGGGATTACCTTAATTAATTTATTCACCCAACCTCTCATTCTTTGTTTATTTTTATATGTATGATTAACTTTGGTTTGGCCAAGCATGTAAGTTTTTGGATCTCTTGTACCATATGCATTCACGTGACAGAATCAATGCCGTTGATTTTTAAACATGAGGCTTCATATCTTCGGTAATTTAAGATGATGTTTCATGTTTAGTATCAGGTGTTTGTCCCATAATACTACTTTCAGTCATTAACATAATATCTAATTTACTAATTTTAGGAAATTAGGGAAGATAAAAAATTACTTACTTATAACATATCTTATATGATCTCTCTAAAATACATATGTGTATCATTAGATTATATTTCAATTTTTAAGCTGGGCAAATTAGGTTGAAGAAAACAATAAATATAATACTTTAAAATAATTTATTTAACTTTTCTAATATCTCCAAATTAGTCAATTATATCTTCTATTAAAAATGAACAAATACTTAATAAACACCCTTGGCATTGTTATGATGCTCCCATGGCTTTTCTATGTTGAATAGCTAGCAGAATCTGTGGGCAAGCACTTAGAGTTGGGAACTCCATGTTATGTAGCCCCAGAGGTATATGTTTTCATACTCTACATTATGTGTCATAAATAAAGTAGTATTTCTTAATAAACTTGTTTCTCGCACATACAGGTTCTGCCAAAAATAGAATATAAGAGATCGCTTGAAGCTTCTGCTGCTGATATATGGAGTTTGGGCTGTGTAATCATTAAAATGTTCTCAGGGAAGCACCCTTGGCCTGGTTTTGAGCCGGTAAACGCTTCTATGTACACTTCTATGCATACATACGTGTGTGTGTGTGTGTGTCTATATATAGAGAGAGGGAGCTAACATTGCATTAGATAATATATGTGACTTTTCTATTTGCACATAAACTTAAAGTCTCTCTATTGTTGCTTTATCCAGCACAAGCATAACACTTATAATCTTAGAACAGTAGACAAAGCATACAATAATGTACTCAAAGGACCCGCTAATCTTTAGGTCTGGCGTTAATGAAGGAGTGCCCTGGTTAAATGCAACGACAAGTGAGACATTTGGGTATAGTTTTTCATCAAAATAATCTTGGAATTATATGAGACACTGCATCCCATATATGGAGTTTTCATTTATTAATTAATTGATTAATTATATAACTAGAACAAATTCATTTACCAAGCAGGTGCAGGCCTTCTATAAAGTTTGTGTTGAACAGCAACATCCGCCCATACCGGAAGGGTTATGCGAAGAGGGTAAAGGTTTTGTGGAACTCTGCTTCACAAGAACTCCGGCCGAGCGGCCATCTGCTGCAGCATTACCAGACCATTCCTTTGTAAGAGCACAAACAACTTAGCTTGCTGATGGAAGAAAGCACAAACTTAGCCTTGTGAAAAGGCTTCAGTTACTTTGTTATTTTTTCAAGAGTTAAGACGCAAATTTATCCTGAAGGCTTTTGTTCATAAGCGTTGGTCACCAGGGAGATTTTTTTAAAAGCAAATTTGTCTCAAAAATTTAAAATCATAGTAATATTACCTCTCATTATAAAGAATATTAACATTTAACATCACAATTTTATTAGCAGGGTGCAATAATGCCCTGCTTTTTGACTTGTAAGGCAAAGTTATACAGGAAAAGAAAACTTTCGAGTGCTCAAAACTCCTAAATGAAAACCGTAAAAAATTTGTGCCTCTCTTGTCTTGTTACATCTATATTTTCGAAGCAAAAGGAAACTAGGATATCCATTTTGACCCTGTTTGTGGAGACATCTATTTATATGCCCTTGTTGTTATTATAAACTTGAAAATCTAATTGGTCAAATCTCAATCAACCCCTGTGTGTGGGGTACCCCAATTAAATAAGATAGGTTTTTTTGGGGTTAATATAAATATTGGTCCTCCAAGTTTGTCATCATTTTAGTCTTGGTCTCTTAAATTTTAAATAATAAGTTTTGGTCCCTCGAGCTTTTTTTTCATTTAAAACATTGGTCCCTATAATCTAATAAAAAGTTAGAGTATTTTGCTCCTTAAAAGACCAAAATCTATGGTTTAAGACTTGAAGGACCAAAACCAAAATAAGGACAAACTTGAAAGACTAAAGATTATATTAACTGGTTTTCTTTTTCAAATTTACATTATCAACATTTTTGTGAATGATTAAGAATTACTACTATTATGCATCTATTTTTTTTTTTTTGGCTTTTTTCCTTTTCTTTTCGTAAGAAAAGCATGGTACAAGACGATGAATTTTCAAACTCTTGTCTTCTTTATAAGACGTAAAAAAACTGATGAAATGAAATGTAAATATTAAATTTATTAAAGCAAAATCAAAGATTTGCCTTTTCCAAATCCTTGTATACTTAGTTGGAAAAAGCTTAATCCTTCCTCTTAAATATTTTGGGAGATATTAATTTCTCAAAATAATTTGCCAATAAAAGACTACGTAAAACACTGTTCAGTTCCTTCCTGATTTGCCGGTTTGAATTTAATTTGGAGAATACGAATACGACCGTATCATTTTGAGATTCCTCACTTGCAATGCCCCACAAAAAAATATAATTAACAGAAACAAATGGATATGATTATATTACTGAATTAAATGCATGTGGTCCCAATTCAAATCCAACTCAATCTGCAGGTGTTTAGACCCAAAAATGCTTTTAAAAAAATACTTTTTTTAATTGAGGTAAACTTTTCTATATATTTATTTTATATATTATAAAATTATTTTTAAAATTACAGTTTAGTTTACATCCAAACACTTTTTAAAGAATATAAATATATGATGAGGCCAAAACAGGAGATTGATTTGAGCTTTTGTCGCTGAAAAAGTCAACCAAAAATATGGTTGAATGGTGTTTTGTCAAACATTTTGAGAAAAATCATCACAAGTTTCTAAGTAAAAAATGAAATTACCAAAAAGTTCTACAAAGAAATAAGTAATATGTGATAATAAGTTTTAATATAAAAGATAACAACAAATCTATACTGTTAACTTATTATGAAACCTTTTTTTTTTAATTAAATGCACCCTTTTCTTATAATTTCATAATATTTTTTCCTAGTTTCAGTTCGAAACTCACTATTGAGACCATGATTAAGTTACTGGTGGGAAAACACAAACTAGTTAAGTCTTTTCATGGTGGAAAAGTCCGGAGGGTCCCATCATTCAAAGTCATTTCCCAACAACCGCCTCATCATCTTCATCACCTGTCTCCTTGGTTAATATAAAAAATTAGTTTAACTTTTAATTTAGTTTAATTTTTTATTTTATCTTAAATATAAAATTTTAATTTACTTTGTCTCACATATTTATTTATTTTTTAATATAGTTTTTGTAATAGTTACATGTGTTTGAATGTTTCATCAAATGACATTTGATTAGCAATGATATTTTAGAAAAGACAACACCTAATTACTACAAATAACTAACTTAATAAACTTTCTTAATCTACTTAAATTAGTTAATTAACTCTTATATTAAAGACATGAGGCAATAAATAAAACTAGTCGGTGGTAGATTTTATAGTTTGATGACATCGTGTACTTCTTTATAAATAAAAAGTCACGTGTTTAAATAAAAAAGTAAATGGTTGAAAAAGAAATGGAAGGAGAATAAAGAGTTTCTTAAAACTATTTAATCATAATAAAGAGTTTCTTAAAACTATTTAAATGATGGAGATATGCTTAATTAGTTACTATGCATTACTATGATTAGGGCTGAAGTGGATGGAATCAAACAAGAATGATAATGGAGATAAGCTTAATTAGCAACTATTTGCATTATGTGTCTATGATCTTTTCTTTTTCTTTTGACAATAACAACAACAACAAGCCTTATCCCACTAGGTGGGGTCGGCTATATGAATCACACGACGCCATCGTGCTCTGTCAACAACCTAGTCCTTAGATATGTTGTTGACTAGGAGGTCTCGTTCAATGACCTCATTAAGCGTTCTTCTCCTTAGATATCCAGACTTGGGATCGGCTATACAATATAGGCAGAGTTTTTCTTTTTCTTTTGACAAATATTATAAAATTACCATCTGGTCAGTCAATTATGTGTTAAAAGGAATTTTGACCCTGTACTCATATAATCCTTACTTTACGAAGTACATAAAAGCAAATTAACAAAACAATTCACTTAATTTAGACAACATTAAGCTAAAACAAAGAATGCCAACAAGCAACTCACAAAGGTTATAAATACAATTTTCATTACTTTAAATGTGCTGACACTAGATAATCTGTAAGCATTTTGATAAGTAATTTTTAGTAGAACATATGTCTTAATCCTAATGAGTCAAACTTAATTGATCTAAACTTTTGTTATATACTATTCCTGATCTTATTTATAAGATTTTATTTATAGTCTATAAATAATGTTTTAAAACTAGGACTGGAAGTAAAAAAAGCTCTTAGGGAACTTTCGTCGCTCTCTCTCTTGGATTGCGTGCTACCTAAAAACACCCCACGAATGGAAGATCTTGGCCACCGGAAAATCCCTCCAGACCGACCTTCGGATGCGCTAGTGTGTATTAGCAAGAAGAAGAAATCCAGGATCGAAATGGATGACCCCACTTCAGATATGGTGACGGAGGAATCTACTGGAAAACAAGGAATGGAACCAGGAGACGAGGCCATGCCGGACAATGAAAACTTAGAAGGCAAAGCAGGGGATCAGCGGCGCAAACGAGTATCCTACCGAGAATCTCTCCTCGGTTTTAATGGAGTGGCAAATGGAAGATGTGGTATGGAGGAAGATGAACTCCTGTCAGACGTGCTCAATACGGAATGGGAACTACCGAAAGTCCGGAACCATCAGAGGAGCTTGTTGTGCTGATGAACCAGTATCCAATAGTCCCTATTGAGCCCGAAGAATACACAGAGTGGTGCAAGCCTTGGAACTTAGCTCTCATCATTATAGTACTAGGTAAGAGATACAATGTTTACACGCTGAAGGGTCTCCTCTGTAAACTGTGGGGTATGACGGATTTCGATCTAATTGACATCCCAAACAACTATTTTGTGGTAAAATTCTCCAATAGAGAAGGTTGGACGGACTTGTATAAGAAAGTGCTATACGAAGGCCCTTGGGTAGTTCAACAACATAGCGAATTAGTCCAGAGATGGACTCCACATTTTGACCCGTATAACAACCCCCTTAGGCGAATAGCAACCTGGATTCGAATACCCAATATTCCCCTCCATTGCTATAATAAGACCTTCATCACGAGACTGGGCAACAAGGTTGGGAAAACTCTCAAAGTAGACTTAAAGACGCTGACGGAAAACTCAACCAGATTCTCCAATGTTGAGAGGGGCAGGTTCGCGAGAGTGTGCGTGGAGTTAGATCTCCAAAAGAAACTGGTGCCGAGAGTAATTGCAGCAAACTCTATTTACAATGTGGAGTATGAAGGTCTCTATCTTATTTGCTTTGCGTGCGGTCGATACGGTCATCGTAAGGAAACTTGTTCATGGACGCTCAAGACTCCGCAGCAGCTGGACCCAGGGAACTCAAATGAGACGAAATCAGATGCAGCATCGGCTTCAAGGTTACAACAGGGAAAAAACAAAGAGCAACCAGATCAGGACTCATTGACAGCGAATTTGAAAATAGCCGCGGAGGAAGAGTTCGGGAGCTGGATGATTGTCAATCGACGAGGCAGATTCCGTACACAAAGAAATAATATGGTTAAAGAAACTAAAAGAACTATTGGGAGTGGCTCGAGGAATGTCAGAGGGTACAGGGGAGAAAACTCTCAGATTTAGTTCACCGTACTAGAAGGTTTACAAGAAGATGAGATGGATTTGTCAGAAGATAATAAGATTGTAGAGGGAGGAGAAGCCGAATGGTAGCAGAGAGAAGACAATCTAGTCCAAAAGGGTCAGATGGAGAAGGAAAATAGGTTGGAAAAGAGCACTCAGGATGTGGTGGGGTATGCAGGAAAAGAAAAAAGAGGAGGATCAAGAAGTAAGTCAAATCGGGCAAGAGGAAAAGAAAATGAAATTCCTAATGGGGCCTCTAAAAAAGGTAAGGCCCAAATACCAATTGAGAAGGTGGGCCTAGGGAATAAGGTGAAGGCTAGTAAGGCTATTATGGGTCAAAGGCAACACACCATAGTGCACGGTAATATCCATGAAATGGGTTCGAGTATTCTGAACTCAGCCACAAATATAGTGGTAGAGGAACAGAACAGAACAGGTCAACAGGGAGACAAATTTTCTGAGAGAGCAACGCAGGACTTGGTGCTAAGGGATTCCCATCAACCGAACCTATCTACTCAACTAATGCCAAAGTTGAACATTGAGGTCCCAAGAACAGTAGGCTTACAAGCCTTGACTCCTCAACAAGATGAATCATTTCTTGGGGATCCAGGAGAAAACAGGTTGGGTAGAGATGACACTGCTTTGGTTTTAGTAGAGAAAGCCAACCATGGAAGCTTAGTATGGCAGTCAAATGAACAGAGGCCGACCTGGGAAGAGGGGGACCTTAACGTTGAGTAAGTGGCTCTGCTTTGTGAATTTTATTTTATACTAATGATTGTTGCTTCATGGAATTGCAGAGGGGCTGGAAATAAGACGTTTCCAGCAACTGTACAAGAAGTGGTGAGGAGGTATGATATAAACGTCCTGTGCCTTTTGGAAACAAGAGTTAGTGGGTGTAAAGCTGATGAAGTGGTAAGACGGTGTGGGTTTAGTAATTGGCTGCGTGTGGAAGCGTCTGGGTACACAGGGGGGATTTGGGTCCTGTGGAATGATCATGAAATGCAAGTAAATTACATCTGTTCTAGTACTCAATTATTACACTGTGAAATTTGTGACTTGAGAAATGGTGAAAAGTACCTTACCTCTTTTGTTTATGGGGAAACTTCTAGAGCAAAAAGAATGAATCTCTGGCATTCTCTGAGAACAATTACAGGACACTTAGAGAGGGCTTGGTTAGTTGTAAGGGACTTCAACACCTTCCTAAAACCCCAGGATAAACTTGGCGGATCCCCTCCTAATTACCAAGCTATGCGTAACTTTGCTGATTGTGTTTCAGATACGGGACTTATGGAGATACCTATTGTTGGAGAACGTTTTACTTGGGAAAAGAAGGGAGTGAACGAAAGGTTAGATTGGGCTTCTGGTAACCTTGAATGGGAACTGAACTTCTCACAGAGCAAGGTTACACATGGTTTAAAATTTAAATCTGACCATAGGATACTTGTCATTAATACTGGCACTGGGGCTCCAAATTCAAGATTGACAACACGTCCTTTTAAATACAATGCGGCCTGGTCCATGGAAGAAGGGTTTACGGATATAGTTGGTAAATCTTGGAACAATACAGACTGGTACAATCTTCTGTCTGGATTCTTAACCGAAAAGAAATGAATTTGTGATTTTGAGGCACCACTTTTGTACGTGATTAAATGCTCCTCTCGCTTCTTAAAACAAGTGTTGACAATCTTAAGATTATATGCAAGAGAAAAGTCGAGAATAGATTGTCCTCCACTATTAAGCTCCCCAAAACCAAAACCACCATGGGCCCCACTAAATTGTCCTGCTTCCTTACCGACATGTCCATTAAGGTCCCCACTGATAAAATTTTTTTCTTTGAGTGGTATGCTTTGAACCAACCCCTCCATATCTTCCCAGAACTTATCTTTAAGGTGTGTCTCTACCTCAACCTGAGATGTATAGGCACTAATGATGTTGATAGTATCTTTTCCAACAAGTACTCTTAACGATATTATTCTGTCCTCAAACCTTTTAACCTCTACCACGTTTCTTTTCCATGTTCTGTCAACGATGATACCAACCTCATTCCTTGCACTCACCTTTCTTGTATACCAAAGTTTATACTCTCCAAGTTCCTTGGCAACTTCTCCAGTCCATTTGGTTTCTTGGAGGCACAAGATATTAATCCTTCTGTCCCTCATAACTCCTGCTACTTCCATAGATTTCTCATTCAGCGTCCCAATATTCCAAGTGCTAAATCTAATCTTAGTCTCATGAACTAACTTCTTTAGCCGCCTTCGTCCAAGAGAGTGCGGTAGCCCTCGTTCATTTAACACTACATCCGGGCGACGATGCAGCGGCTCTAGCTCATTTCTCATTGTACTTGAGCCATACAACGCGTCACTTCTGGGCAACGACCTAGCATTAGCGTAATTACTTCGTTGATCCATGTTCATGAGATTCGACGGGTTTTTACGTTGGCTGTCGAGGGCCTAACACAACCCTTCTTCTTTATCCGAACTTGGGACCGGCTATACAATATAGGCGGAGTTTTTCTTTTTCTTTTGACAAATATTATAAAATTACCATCTGGTCAGTCAATTATGTGTTAAAAGGAATTTTGACCCTGTACTCATATAATCCTTACTTTACGAAGTACATAAAAGCAAATTAACAAAACAATTCACTTAATTTAGACAACATTAAGCTAAAACAAAGAATGCCAACAAGCAACTCACAAAGGTTATAAATACAATTTTCATTACTTTAAATGTGATGACACCAGATAATCTGTAAGCATTTTGATAAGTAATTTTTAGTAGAACATATGTCTTAATCCTAATGAGTCAAACTTAATTGATCTAAACTTTTGTTATATACTATTCCTGATCTTATTTATAAGATTTTATTTATAGTCTATAAATAATGTTTTAAAACTAGGACTGGAAGTAGTATATGAGAGAAAATAGATAAAACAAAGAAGGAATATGACTCGGATAATCATACTCGTCATTATTAACAATAATAAATTCATATTCTGATGATGACAGGTGATGCGCCATATTGACTAAACAGTCACATGCTAAGTACTAAATGAAAAGAGTTGAGTCTATATATCAACTAGATTATTAAATTTTGACAGATATGGAAGCGTGAGAGCACAAGTGACACGCATAAATTGTCAGGAGGTACAGTATATTATGATCATAGAGGATCGCATGAAGCCAAACAGCTTTCATGAGCTATATGAAAGAAAGCAATGAAAAACACATGCCATTTATAAATGATTGTTTTGTCATTTCATGGTCATTTAACACTGTACGGTTGCGGTAGTACTAAATACCCTGGTACTAAGCCAATGGAACGAGTAGTTTAAGGGATAATGAGTTACATTAGTGTGAGAAAAAAATAGAAATAATTTAAATTTATATTATATTATCTAAAAACTAAATGTCAATTTAATATTTAAATAGATATATGACAACAAAGTATTCCTACCTACAATCTTTTAATCACAAAATTAATAATTAGTAATACTATCTTTGATCCTTTTTTAAAACCTTGATAACCGAATTAAATTGTTTAAAAAAATAAAAATTAGTTAAAAGTAATAAATGTGTCAAACCAACCCTTTTTTCCCTCTAAGTATGTCCTTATTTGTAAAGGGCAAATAAGAGAAAGAAATAGAATAAGAATGAGAGAAAGTATGAGAAAGAATGTAGGATGCTAATTGCTAAGTTGCCAATATTTTAATTAATATAATATATAAAATTAATTAGGGCAAAAATGATAAAAACACATTAAACAATTCTAATCAGAATTTTATAAAAAGATTAAGGCAATTCAAATTTCATATTTTTATAAAAAGAAGGGAGGAAATAACTTTTAAAAAAGACTCTTTTTAAAAGCAACCAAGTTAACCCATAAAATCGGGAGATTAAATGGGTTGCTCTCAGGTTGGTCCGGGTTACTGCGAGCCAAGATTTCTTAGTTTATAAGGGTTGACTCAGCCGACCAAGTGACTCGTTCATTGGTTTCAGGTCCAACCCAACTAGTTCATGTCTGGTTAATGATAAGTACTAAACTCATTCATCCTCAAAATGAGTTCATTTTTTTAATTGAAAAATTATATGTTTGATATGAAACCCGTAACAAACATTTTTTGATAAATATCAACATGGTCTCAACATAAATAATTTTTAAGGTTAAGGTGTCCTAAAGTATTTTGTCAAGTGTATCCAATATTCTAAAGTATTTTGTGGTATATTCAGCTCTTCGAAATATTTTTTCAAATACATCTAGTACTCTAAAATATTTTGTGGTATAATTTTGCTCTTAAAGTATTAATTTTTTTCAAAAGTAACTGTGCTTTTAAAGTATTATTTTATGAGCATTTCTAATTCCATTATTAACTCCTCAAAATGTCGGTTAAATGAATGTATATTATGTACAAATAAAGTATTTTTTAAAGCATTTTTTAGGGTGCTGAATGTATCTAAAAAATACTTCAGAGTATTAAACGCATCACAAAATACTTTAGGATACTGGACACATAAAAAAAATATTTCAGAGTGTTGAGTGTACCACAAAATATTTTAGGGAGTTGGACGCATCTAACAAAATACTTGAGGATGCTGAACATACCCAATTTTTTACTGTAGTATTTTAGTAAATATTTTTTGTTGTATAATATTTAGGTAAATTTTTTTTACTCTTCATTATAAGATTAATTTTATTTTAAATTTATAACTATTAAAATAAAAATTTGTTCAAAAATATATAAAAGAAATAAATTGAATGGTTCATATTAAAATGTAGGTTTTCTTGAACCAATTCTTTGTTTTACCAAGTGACATTAATTTTACAATGGCTTTATAAGTTATAAAGATATGATTTTAGTTATTTTGAGTATTTTAATTCTGTACATAATTTTTTATATATAAAAATGCTTCCATTTTTTAGGACCTGGCTTTTCGAAAATATATCTTTTCGTTTTGAAAATACCTTATACTTCCCACGTTGAATTCAAAAAGTAACGAAAGCCAATAAGAAAGAGCAAAACAATTAAGTCAGAGAACATCAAATAAAAACAAACGAGGGGTCTAGTGGTCTACAATGGCTTGTACTGAATAATTAATTATGATTGTATTTAACGGTAAATAAATTCCACTTTGATTATAAATTATTACCTCCCATACTAAATATTAGAGCTAGCTGACTAATTTGAATAGAGTAAGAAAATAAGTTACATTAATTATTTGTAATAAATATGTGTTGTCCTTCTGAAAATATCATTACTAATCAAGTTTATTGGTTAGAATTATTATTATTAGAAGGACTATATTTAAAAAAAAGATAAATATGAGAGAAAGTGAATCGAAATTTTATATTTGAGATCAAAATAAAAATCAAATGAGGCCTTATATTAAATACCGGAGTATAATGCTTTAGCTTCTGGGCACTTGTTTAAGATCCCCCAATTCTTGGGGACAAATAACCTAATTTCATCCCCAATATTTTCAAAAGGATGACTACTATGGCATGCCCTAGGTGTCAATTAATTCTGTAAAATAAAGAGATTAATCTTCTAGAAGCTTAGTGACCAACAACTTCAGTCAAATGTGGCGACTGACTTCTGTGGCCCCCATATTTGCTGACGCTGGTTATCTCTCGTCATTTTGGAGTCTTCATGTTTCTCTCCGTAATTTGTCTTCATCACTTCGTTATCGCTAAATCCAACTCATTCTCAATCTAACCACTTGCTTCTTCTTCTCTCTCCTGCAACTCGCACTTAGAGTCCTCTCTCTCTCTCTCTCTCTCTCACTGAATTCTCTATTGATTCTCTCTGTTGTATACCTTTCTTCGGTGACGTCTTCTTCTTTCTTTTCTGCTGAGTTGCTTCTATTTACTGTAATGAGCTTTTGCTCTAAGACATTTGGATGGTCTCTGAGAGTATAAAGGTTGATATTATATACTCTGCTTGTAGTGTGACACCTGCATATTGCGTTTCTCGTTTTTTGTTCTCTTTTGCGTTTTTCTGATCAAGTTTTGCTCTTTCTTTTTCTATACGCAGATAAGTAGTTGGATTACTGGGGATGTCTGCTCAAGGTTTAATGTCCTCCTCTCTGGTGATGAAGAGACTAAGCTCGTGCGGAAGCAAATTGCTATTCTGAGCTGAGACTGTGAGAGGAACGGAGCTTCTTCTTCTTCCTCTTCCTCTTTCCTGGTTCCTGCGCCGTACTCTGTCCTCAGGCATGTTGGCCCAGAAGAAGAATGATTCATCCCAAAAGCTCTCACATTCAGAAACCATCATTGATGCTGCTTACGGAAAGAACGGTAACTTTTGCTTTAGAGAAGAAGAAATTGGGTGATCCTTTATTTGATTTTTTTAAATATGATACCGGGACTGGTCTTGAAAAATAATCAGAAATCTAGAAATTCGAATCGCACGAAAATATAGTATTGCATAATTGGTGGTCAAATATATTGACTCATTAGCAAGTGGAAAAAGACCAATGGCAGTCAGTACATTCTTGTTGATAATAATAGTAATTCACTTATTGAGAATATTAAATAATCTTCTAACAGATTACATAATCCATAATTTATTTTAATTTTGCAGGTCTATTGGGGATGACCTCAACTCCGACTGTTCCAAGATCCATGCCGGATGAAATTTGCCCGGCTTCTCTCATCAAGAATGACACAGACATGGCCGAGAAGCTGGAAGTTGTAACTGATAAATCTGAAACGATGTTGGGTTTGAGAAAGAGTACTGTACGGGGAAATTGTTCACATCTCAAAGCCCGTGTAGCCTCATTCTTGGAAGCCACCAGGGCTGCAAAACTTGTGGTGAGGGGAGGAGCTCTTGTTTCCTTGATTGCAGTGCCTTTACGGGGCACAATTATAAGGCCTCCATTTCGTCTCCACTTGGAAATAAGGAGACCCAACATGGACACGTCCCACTGGTTTGCCTCAAACAAGCTTCTTGTACTTGTTCTTGCTGTTTTCCACTTGTTACTAGGTCTCGCAGCTTCACAAATGCCGTTCTTTGAATGGATCATGGACGCCATAATTTTGGTTGAACTTCTCCCACTACTTTACTGGCTGCTGCGACCTCTGCCTCTCTACGTCTTCTCAAGAAAGGAGGTCAACCAGAAAGAAGCTATCAAAGTTGATAAGTTCATTCAAGAAGATGATTCTGCTGTTAATTCAGTCTCTCATACCACCAATCCTCGCCCATGGGAAAGAGTGGAACGTATTGGGGCTGGTGGATATGGGAATGTTTATGTTGCACGCCACAGGTAAATGAGTAAACTGGCATTTTGATCTTATCGTCTTAGTTTTAATTTCCTCGTAAGAAATATGTGTTCTCCATTTCTGACAGGGAAACCCGAGAGTTATTTGCAGTAAAGGAACTGAATGACATTCACAAACTTACAAAGGTAGAATCTATAAAAAATGTACGCCCTAATCCTATATGTCATTACACTTTCTTTGTCATACTTATATAATCCTCCACAAGTGAAGAAATGATTATATTCTCACAGTTCATTGTATCAAACTTGACAACGAGCGTACCTGTGTTTTCAGGAAATCAAAATTCTCAGCCAACTGGAACATCCAAACATTGTAAAGTATTACGGAAATGAAACAGTAAGTACTCTCCTACTTTAAGCTGATGAGCGAAGTGTGTACACAATTAATTAATCACTTACTGGTTCATGCATAATTAGATTGGACGCCACATTTTTCTATACATGGAATACGTCCAATCAGGTTCACTGAGGAAATATATCTCGGACAGAAGGGTTTTACCTGAACTTTTAATCCGAAATTTCACCAAGCAAATTCTCTCTGGGTTGGATTACCTGAGTAATAAAAGAGTTGTTCACAGGTATAATCCCATACTTACATGGAATACTGCATGAGTTCTGGTCATCATAAAACACACAGCTTGTAGCATAATTAATTTTTAACTGCTGTGTATTGGGATTGTCATGATTAATTTATTCCCCGCACCTCTCATTCTTTATTTTTATATGTATGATTATATAGGGACATAAAGCCGGCCAATCTACTTGTCGATTCTAACAACATAGTAAAGCTAATTGACTTCGGTTCGGCTAAGCATGTGAGTTCTTGGATATTTTGTACAAGATGGTGTCTCATGTTTAGGATGAATATGTGTGTCCCATAGTATTGCTGGTTAATTATTTGTGGCCTTTTAAATACCCTTGCAACTGATATGATGGCCCCAAGAGTAAGTAATAGTGATGACTTAATTGGGTTTTGTGTGTTGAATAGCCAGCAGAATCTGTGGGCCAGCACTCCATGCCGGGAACTCCATATTATGCAGCCCCAGAGGTACATATTTTCATACTCTACATTATGCGTCACAAAGTATTTCTTAATAGACCTGTTTATACATACAGGTTCTTCAAAATATAGAATATAGGACGTGGCATGAAGCTTCTGCTGCTGATATATGGAGTCTGGGTTGTGTAATCATAGAAATGTTCACAGGGGAGCATCCTTGGCCTCATGTTGATCAGGTAAACGCTGTTGCACTTCTATGTATATATAGAGCGAACATGGCTTTAGATAATATATATATTTATATATATATGACTTCTTAATTTGCACATATATATAAAATCAAAGAATATAAGTGTCTGTTATTTTCTGCTCTAAACAAATGGAGCAAAAACAATGTATATAATGGACTTTAAGGACTAGTTTATCTTTAGGTCTGGCGTTAATGAGGTAGTGCCTTGTTTAAATGCACGGGCAATAAGTGAGAAATTTGGGTATTAAGTATATGAAACATTGCATGCCATATATGGATCTTTCATTTATTGGTTAATTAAATATATAACTAAAACAAATTCATTTGCTAAGCAGGTGCAGGCTTACTATAAAATTTGTTTTGATCATCAACATCCGCCCATACCGAAAGAGTTGAGCAAAGAGGGTAAAGATTTTCTTCAACTCTGCTTCCGAAAAACTCCGGCCGAGCGGCCTTCTGCTGCAGCATTACTAGAGCATCCCTTTGTAAAAGTACACAACTTAGCTTGCTGGTGGAAGAAAGTACGAGGCTTGATATTGGGAGTATTGGGAGATTTTAGCATGACACACGCACAGACATAGATATAGAACTAAGGCCTTAATTAGTATATATAACACGGGGAGGGGGTGTCAGCTGCACCCTCTAATGCCTTCCTTGCTATCCCTTCATTTTGCCTCCCTTCCCAAATGTCTTTTAATCATTATATTCTATATAAAATGAGTGATATTTTGATATTTTATGGGCAAAAACTAGTACATTTTTTTTATTTTTACGATTTTTCAGATATTCTACATAAAATCTATGGTTTCTTTTTAATTTAGAGTATTTTTCTTCAAAAAATCATAACAAAATTGAAAACTATTGTATTATTTTTTGTGCATAAGATATCAAAGTATCACTTTATGTAGAATTTAATGATCAAAAGAAATAAGAAAGAAATATTTGAGAAGGGAGGCAAACTCAAAGGGCAACAAGAAGGGCATTAGAGGGGTTACAATAGACACCCCTAAGAAGGGTCGTCTCCTCAATAATTTTGTGCTTAGCAGGAGCATTATTCTTCATGAAAATATTCATTCTTTGCTCGAGAATTTTGTATATCGACCTTTATCTTCAATTCCAACAGAAGATGGATATGGTAAATGGCTGCTGTTTTGTCATCTTTTGTTTCCATTATTCTGCCAACTTAATTGCATTTAGAGTTCAAATAACTTCGTCCAATCTTTTAGTTCGCAGATATAATTAAGGAGACACAAAAGCAACCGACCAGAAAGTTAATTACAAGTATTCGTGTACGCCTAGCTCCCTTGGCATACTGTTAATGGCTCTCTCGTACTTTACGTGTGTTTCGTTGCATGTCCATGCAGACGTGAATATTCATAATTAGGTGTCAAATGTACAAACTACCATATACTTTTCTGGTCCTATTTATAAGACAGAGAAAGAAGGTTTTTTTAGTTATATTTATAAGTTACTTTATTAAATTTTTACTATGAATTGTCATATCGTCCTTCATTTGTTACAGTATAAGTAGTTATTTTTTTTAAAGGTGTATGCATTAAATAGGTATAAAATTGGAAGATTGTTATGTTTTAATGAAAAATTAATGGAGTTTAAAATTTTTCTTAATCTGTGTGAAATATGTTGAAAATGTTTTATAAATAAAACCAGAAAAGTATATCAGAGCGCACGTGCAATGATGAAAAAGTTCAGTTGACTATGGCTTTTTATGGGCAGTCGCAGGTAGAAAATTGCTACTTTAACGTTTGAATTAATGATTGTGTCTTGTCATTTTCTTCATTATTGGTCAATGTTCTCACTCAGTCCAATTAATTTTTAATATATACACTTCTTTTATTTCTTCTTTGAAAGTGTCATTGTCTTGGAATTTTTTTCCCCTAAAGAAGGATATTGGGCGGTTCCATAATACGGGCAAGGAATTAATTGTTGGGAAAATATTAGGAATAATAATGATTTAAGTTTCAAAGCTTAAATCTTATAACGGTCCGGTCTCAACAAATTTTGTTGAATATTAACTTCGAATCGATTTAAATAATTACGAGTATTTTTTGGCCAAAAATAATTACAAGAATGAAAGTCTAAGTTGCAAGTCTGATATTAATACTACTTTTGCTTCGGATAACTGATTTGTGTAAATTAATGAAATTAGGTAATATAATTATATATAACAAATGTATTTTGGTTTTCTAAATTGTTCTATTTAATCACATGCAATAGAGATATTCTTTGACTGTGAGCCCCCTTAATATATGCAATCAATAATGATACTTTAAAAATATATATATAAATTTAGAAAGACAAAGCAGATTAAGACCATATATTTAGCATCAAAGTGAATTTTTTTTATCTAGTTTCTATATTTAGAAGCAGAAGATAGTTAGTAATGGTGAAGTATAATATATATATATATATATATATATATAGCTTGCAAATTGAACTCTCATATTCAGAAGTTTTCGAATTATTATTTATAACTTTTTTTTAAACAATTTTTTAGACACCTAAACATTTGGAGTTCTGCCACATTATTATCGTCCTTCAAAAATCATTAGTCAAGAGGAACAGAGGGACAAAATATTAGTCCAAAGAGACGGCTATTTTGGACCTGACCATTCGGACGGCTATTTTGGACTTGACCATTCGCTAAGATAATTTTGGCAGCATATGCGCTTATACTACTAATAATAATAATAATAAACACCCTCTAAAAATTTGAGGGCATACTAAAGTAAATCAGTACTCATATTATTTTTGTTTATGAGTATAAAAATAGTCCTTTTGTCATCCTTCTTTGTCTGTACACCAAACAAAACAACTTTAGTACCAAATTCTCTGCATTTAGCTTGGCGGAGGGATGTAAAAATTACTCAACTGATCAATTCTCATTATTGGTGATTCAATTAGATTTTCTATGTAGAAATATAATTTTTTGGCCGTCAAGTTATATATATGTTTGCAATTTGATATTATAAGATGGCAATAAAATTAAATAGTCTTGATCACGAAACAAGGATATATAACTTAGCAGTGATCCTCCCCCTTCACTTTCTCTTCTACGCTTCTTATCTTAGTTACCTTCTTTAATTTTGTCTCCCTCTGTAAATCAATCCCTCATCCAGTATTAACAGTACTAGCATCTTCCTTTCAATTTATTGTGTGTGTGTTCCGCTGACTCTTTCCTGCCCCCCACCATAATACACGCAATCTCATCCATGCATCCATCTCTTGTGGCATGTTTGGTAGCAGTGATGGGGCTGTTTGACCGTGGGTGGCTTAGATGTGTGAAGGAGAAATGGAGGAGTATGAGATGGGGAAGGGAAATAATATCTTGACATTAAGCTTCACTGGTATAACATGGCAAGTTTATGGAGTGGGATGTTTGAGCTTGATTCTGGAAGTGTCTTCTTTGTTCTCTAATGCCTCAAGTATTGTGGGTTTGCCTATTGTGCCAATTTTGGCTGATTGTTTTTGTTCCATGACACAATGAATGGGTTGAAGTTGATATCTTTGGTGCTTGCTCTTTGGGGCTTTTTGTCATACATCTATCAGCAGTATCTAGATGAGACTGATTCCAAGTTTCAACACCCAAGGCATGAAGGCATAATGATATTTTTAGAGATTATTCACGGTCTCACAGAGTAAAGAATGAAATAACGATACGCGTTATTTATTTATTTTTCGTTTTTTTGGGGGGGGGGGGTGGTTGTTATGAGCGAGGAATAAAGAAAGGCTATTAACATGCTTGGTATGAATATAAATTGAAAGATAGGGTCAAAAAGGTTTGGGAAAAGATGAGAGTGGTTGGGGAGAAACGTAAGAGTGAGAGAAAAATGTAGCCCGGAAATTCCGAGTAAAGTGTTTCCTTCGACGAATAAGAGATTATGAAGTAGTCATTGAGCGAGTTTCCTAACCAGCTGGGAACCTCTCCTCTTCCTTTCTCTCTTTTTTTTTTTTTTTTTAACTGTTAGATTAACATATTTCAACAGTTCAGATTTTAATTTTTTAAAAACTACTTGTAAAATTTTTTTTAAAAACATTTAATGCACTTAAGAACTATTAGAATTAAATTTTAATGCAGTTTGTAATTTAATATTTATTTATTTTTATAATTTAATATTTTAATAATAGTTTTAAAAAGATTTAAATATGAACTCTTAAAATATTAATCTGATAGTTAAAAAAAGAAGAGAAGGGAAGAGGATAGGAAACGAAGAGGAGAGGTTTCAAACCAGTTTCTTAAGAAGTTCACCATCAAAGAGTTCATCCACGAGAGCAAGCTTCTTAGGCTTTAATTTCCGAAATATTCATTACAGCAGACAACAATGAAATTAGCATAGTTAGGCAGTCCAAAGAGACTCTGCAATTTGAAGAAGACCATTTCGGCAGTATATACGCTTATGATTTCATTTTATTTTTAATTATGTTTCTGTAATTTAGGCAATTCATAAAAAGAAAAAAATTGTAGAAACTTAATTAAAAACGTGAGAATATAAGGACCTGATCATAAAACAACTACATAAACCTGGTAAAAAAAAACAAGTGAAGTTATAATAACCTGATTAAAAAAAACAAGAAGAAGAAAAAAATTGGGGTGAAGAGCTTAGAAAAAAGAATATATATATTTATTAAAGAGTATCTTAAAAATTGTAACTACCCTAAGTAAATTTTCTAACTATCCAAAAAGGAGTATAGTCTGCGCCTTAACAGCCAACAAGAAAATTCATGCCCAGTCCCTAAAACCATAATTTGGATTCGAACCCAAAAGCAAAGAAAAAGCTAAATATTCAAACGGCAGGGGAATCTTACTCTATAATATAATGATGAGGGAATTATATGTTTTTAGATGCGAAAAGGAAGGTTTTTGGTGAAGAGAAGCCACGGCTTCATGATCAATGTTCACAAGGTTTAGCTTTATGTGTGGGTTGAAGTTGCGATCCTCATTGATCTTTATCCAAGGGTACGAAAATTTATTTAAGCCATTATAATTTTTCTCTTGAATTCTCATAATTTTCTCAATTATAGTTATCGCTCCTACACTCATAATTTCTTAATCTGTGACAGAAATGACATTAGTAACTAATAATGCGACTCTAACTGGCATTATACTTGGATTATTTTCGCCACATGGATCTAAATAAATTGAAAATTAACCACATTACATATTATATATAGATGTAAGGAGATCATCATGGGAATAATAATTTATTTTTATGTTAATAATAAGAAAATTTTATTTCATCATTCTCTTTTTAAAGATCATCATGGGAATAATAATTTATTTTTATGTTAATAATAAGCAAATTTTATCTCATAATTCTATTTTTAAAAAACTTAAATATTTTGCATTTTTTTTGGATAAATTACATCTTACTTAGTCAATCAATCCAGTTACTTCATAATTTGTGGCTTATGAGGTTAATTTGGATTCTACGAGTAGCCTTAGCTGAAACAGATACGAGACACAGAGAATGTGATTGATACTGGAGAATACAAGACACAGAGACATATGGAGATGATGATACTGCGCATGTGATTCCTATTCCCAGAACATTTGAATGAGTGACAGTATATTCAGGGGAGGAAGCTTTT